AATTTTTGTGCACCGGGCCTCTAGTATATAAATAATAAGCTATGTCTACATTTCCTTGGATATATGAAAAAATTTGATTTGGGAATATGACAGAAATGTGGAAGCAATGTCATCCTATACAATAAAGAGGTAATATGCACACTGACCATCATACCCTCGCACAAGATGGCCGCCCCCATGTGGGCACAAGATGGCCACCACAAGATGGCCGGCAAGGAAGGGCAGTTGTGGGCGATCAGGCCAGCAGGGGAGGGCAGATGGGGCAACCAGGTCTGCAGGGGAGGGTAGTTGGGGGTGACTGGGCCTGCAGGGCAGGGCAGTTAAAGTTGACCAGGACAGCAGGTGAAGGCAGTTGGGGGTGACCAGGCCTGCAGGAGAGGGCAGGTGGGGTGACCGGGACAGCAGGGGAGGATAGTTAGGGGTGACCAGGCTGGCAGAAGAGGGCAGTTGGGGGTGACCAGGCAGGCAGGGGGGGCAGTTGGTAGTGACTGGGCCTGCAGGGGAGGGAAGGCAGTTGGGGGTGACTGGGCCAGCACAGGAGGGCATTTGGGGGGAACCAGGCTGGCAGGAGAGGGCCGTTGGGGGAGATCGGGCTGGCAGGGGAGCATTTAGGCGTCAATCAGGCTGGCAGGAGAGTGGTTAGGGAGCAATCAGGCTGTCAGGCAGAAGCAATTAGGGGCAATCAGGCAGGCAGGCAGGCAGGCAAACTGTTGGGAGCCAGCAGTCACGGATTGTGAGAGGGATGTCCACCTCCCTGTGGGATTGGACCTAAACCGGCAGTTGGACATCCCCTTTGGGGTCCCAGATTGGAGAGGGTGAAGGCTGGGATGAGGGACACCCCCCTCTAGTAGTGAATATAAGAATCATTAAGCTAAAAAGAATTACTGAGAAGCACTGAGGAAAATGTAGGGATTGGATAGGGAAATTTGGTAATCAATCAAATCAGTTTCCTATGACATGTCCAGATATAAGGATGAATATGATGGAAGTACCTTACTTCTTCTTGAAAACACAACATGCTCACACATGCATTCCACAGGCAAGGAATCTGTACCACCAAAGGACCAGATCCCTACTTTCAAGGAATTTATAATCAGAGGAGATGGTCACTGTGGGACTAACCAGAGTATCAGATCAGATGAAATGGGTGTTAAATTAGAAGTTTAAGTCTGAGGAGTTATCGATTTTCATCGAAAGCACTGGAGAAATTCCAAGACAGAGATGGCATTTGAGAATAAAAGAATGAGTTGGCTTTTTAAAGGAAGAAAAAGGAAGTTAGGGTAAACCAAGCAGCAGAAATAGCGGAGCAGAGGCACGGAGGTCTGAAAATTGCCTATAATTTAGCCAAAGCACAGGTTGAGGATGAAAACATTGATAGATGAGTTTAGAGTGTTGGACGGCTAAAGAAGTTGGATTTTCTTTTATTGTCTCTAGGCAATATCTGAAAGTTCCTGATGAGTTATATTTTAGGACAATAACACTAGGTGTGTGGGATCTGTGAAGAACTTGGTATTCCTATTCCAAGGATACAGGAAGATTCTGGGGGTGGAATTAGATGCAGACAGTGTTACGGGCCCTGGTCCTGCTTTATGGCTGGTCCTTATAGTGGGTGTGGGGAAATGGTGACCAGTAATCCCAACAACATTGAAGTAGGGAGGAAAGTTTGGGAGTTAACACTTTCTGTATTGAAATCCTGGAGGCCCCATCTGGGGAATGCAGCCCAGCATTCAGAAAGGTCAAACAATGACAAAACTCTGGGTCAGGTCAGGAAACGCTAAATTGATGAGTACATCCCAGAGGTGGGGGTTGGGTGGGGTGGGGGAACACAGTGACTAAAGGATTGGGGTACAGGGTCCAGCCCTCAGAGAAAAGACCTGGCAATGGTTAGACAGAGCCCAAGTCAAACAACATGAGTTCAGGGGAGGACTGGCTTTCTAATTCGGTTAGGAAATGAGACACTCTCCTAAGATTGCTGGCAAAATCCAGGGAGGGAGGGATAAGGAGAGCAGACTAGCTGGGAGGCATGTGGTACCCAGGCTTCTTTTAGGCACAGGGAATGCCCCCTTGACAGCAGCGGGATTAATGCCCACAGCACTGTGAGGCTCCTAATACAAACGGCCCCTGAGATTTTGACGGGTTGTTTAACAAGGGAATTTGGGCCCCACGGACAGATTGACATGGCAAAAAAAACCCCAAAAAACAAACAAAGAAAAAAACCCAACTAATAAACTTTGCAGCTCTTTTTCGTGCCAATAAATGTTCACATACTCAACTATCCCTGCTCCTTCTCCCATCCTGCAGTTCCCCGCCCGCCCTCGGGCTTCAGGGCAAGCTGCTCTAAGTGCAGTGGGAGAGAGGCTAAAGCACAGAGATGTCTATTGCATGTGATACTGTATAAACAGTAATAATTGTTTAAAGCGTTTGCACATTTGGGCCCCTCAAAGCCTAATAATGAATCTTCTAAAATGGCTAACATTCATTCTGTCATATTTATTTGCTGTGTACGGTAAGTAAACATCAGACCAGAGCTAAAGGTTTTCCATGCCTCATGTCTTTTATGCCTCACCACAGTCAGATGAGAAGCACTATTACAGAAGTTAGTGAACAACTGAGGAATTTGTGCACAGCTAAGTAGTTGCACAATATCACTGCGCTGGTAAATATAGGCCTGGCTTTGTACCCGAGGCACCCAGACACACAATGTGCCATCTTCACCATTACATCATGCTGATTCAAAGTGCCTTCCAGTCAAAACATTGGCTAAATTGCTGTGAAAAGAGCTAGGTCAGATCAACAGTGTCAAATATACGTAGCGTGGCCATAAACACTGCCTTGGTCTGGTCTGACAGAGGAGACTGGGAAATCAAAATCCATGGTTTGAAGGCCTCAGGTGGACCCAATAGCAGGGAGCAGCTGGGGAAGACAGGTGTTGACAAAAAGGACTGAAAAACCAAAAGATAGTGTTCAACAGCCTAGTTGGAAGTCAGTTGCAATTCTCCAGGTGAGACTTCTGAGGCCAGAATGTGGATGGTGGCCACACAATGAAAGGCAATGCCTCTTGTATAAGACACAAGGGTGTTGAGGGTGGGGAATATACCTTTAAATATTGTACTATGCCCAATTTTGCTGAGCTCAATGCTGGGCACAAAGGAGGGCCTCAAATAAGTGCATGATTGACAATGAAAAAATGGACTCAAACCAAGTTCTGGACAATGGTCTAGAAAATGCAGGCATTAAATGTAATCCTCAAAGTAACTGTAATATAGTGACTTTTACAAGTAAAGGGTAACGCACTCTAACTGAAAGAGTTTTAAACAACTTGTCAAAGTCAAGCCGTTTGGTTACAAGCAGAAAGGGAGCAAAGGTTGGTCTCATGCCCAGATCCAGTAGTTGTTGATGTATTAAAAATCCCCTTGAGAAAGATAATGTGTTACCATGCTCTCCTCTCCAGAAGTAACTATAAGGAGAATTACTTAAAATAAGCCAATAACTCACAGTTTGTTTTGAAATGAATCTTATTCACTAGAGATTTCAATTCTTAGAAAAATTCCCCCAAAAGACTATGATGAGATTTCTTAAGTATATTGTTTCCTGTGGGGGGGGGGGGGGGGGTCTATATTTCTACACCATTATTTTTTAATATTATAAAGCCTTTGGGTAGAAGGGAAGATTAGCTGTGCCTTTAGTGTTCACTGTGATGATGTCTACAAATGTAGTTTTCATATATCAAAATCTGCTGCACCACTTGCAACATTAGTCGCATTGATGTCTGGTTGGTTAAAAGTTTACTGGGATTTCTTCTGCCAGAAACATTTTCTGTATTTTGGTAACACTCTCCCATGAGGCCTCATGTATTTCTGTGAAGTTGAAATGACAGGATTATTTTTATTTGGAGAAAAGAAAGTGGAAAAGAAATAACCCTTTAAGCTTTGGAATTGATGTTCAGTCTATAAAACGTCTTCAATTAAACTGAGGGGTGATTGGATTCTAGTTCTGGGCTCATTTTAAAATATGTCATTTGGGGCAAATCTTTTCAGTTCTGGGCATCTCAACTGATACAGCCAGGAAGATGAAGTGCTAAGATCTAACTCACCCTCCCTCATGGGGCATCCAAACACCAAGTACTTTTAAAAGCTTTCTAATTTTAAAGTGACCCCTATACCCCTATCATAACATAACATAAACCTGTCTCTTCAAAAAACGATTTCAATTTAAAAAAAAATTTACTCTAACAAATAAGAGTTCTGAAACTTGCTGTATGACTCTTGGGGCAGGCCTTGGTGAATAATATCATAATTCATATTTGTAATGTAACCTCCTTAGAAGGGCCAAGGAGGAATGAAAGTTGTGGTGAAGTCTTGTGATTTCTGGAGATGCTTTGGTCTCAAGTGCATTTGTTGTCCCTTTTTTTGGAGAGAGAGAGAGAGAGGAAGTTATAAGTTGTGTCTGGCTTTAGGACTTTAACAGTAAAGACAGAAGTAAATCAGGCAGTGTTTTTGTTGTTGTTTTTCTTATTAAATATATTTGTATTGATTTCAGAGAGGAAGGGAGAGGGAGAGAGAGATAGAAACATCAATGATGAGAGAGAATCTTTGATCAGCTGCCTCCTGCACTCCCCGCACTGGGGAAGGAGCTGGCAACCCACGCATATGCCCTGGACCTGAATCAAACCAATAACCCTTCAGTCCACAGGTCACACATAGCTCTGTCCACTGAGCCAAGCCGCCTAGGGCTACAGGCGGTGTTTTCAGATAGCAGCCGCCAGGAGTTGGAAAAATGAGAAGAGGCAGAAGGACCGGAGTTTAGAAGCACTGCACTTATGTGTAATGACAGCTGGAGCAATCGGAAACCCATTATCCAGGGGGTGATAGAGTCGCCCTTCACCCAGCAGCCTGCAGCTCCAGTCCTGGTGCTCCAGGCCGGTAAGCGGGCGGTTCCCTGCAAGGGGCCCAAAAGCCGGTGGCGGGGATGCAGCCGGGCCCGGGCGCTCAGTCCCTTACCTTTCCCTCCTCGCTCCAGCATCAGCAAGTGTCCCAGGAAGGGGTAGGCCCCCGGAATGGTGGGGATGGGCCTCATTTGCAGCCAGTTATGCGCGTAGCTCGCCATCATCTGCAGGAAGCTCAGGATGAGGGTGGCGCCGGCCAGGGAGATGGCGCTGAGCACGCCCCAGAGCAGCAGCTTCTGCCCGACGTGCACCAACCATACTGCCACCATCGCGCTAGCGGTCGGCTCTGCTTGGGGACTGAGACCCAGAACCTTGGGGCCCACTGCTTGGGGCCAGGGCGTGGTCCAACCCCTGCCTTTCAAGTGCAGGGCCTGGGAGGAGTCCCGACATTCCCGGGGGCGGGAGCAGCGGGCCGGGAGGGCGGGGGAAGAGGTGGCGCCCGGCCCAATCGCCTCTCTCTCCTCCTGCAACCCGTAGGCACCAGCCCAGGCACCCAGAAGCGGGACTTCCGGTGCAGGTACCGCCCTGCCCCCTCGGGACTGGGTCGGAGCCTCCCCGGCTCGGAGGAAAACATAGCCGGGTTGTTGTTGTGCAGACAAACGCCTAGTAACGCACAGGGGCCTCTGTTTGGTTCCAGCAGAAACGAAAGCCCGGAAGGCGGATTCTGAAGGCAGAGAGTGCTGAGAAGACACGGAGGCCCTTGAGTGGCGTGGGGAGGAGAATGGGGTGCAATTAGGGGCAACTTCAGGATGGAGAGGCGCACTGGGGCTGGGGTGCGCTGACTTCCGTTATAGGAGTGAGCGGTACGTTTTAGAATGGAAATAACGGGGCGCCGGGTTGGAAGTTCGGTTTGGGGGTTTTTCCCTGGCTGGGCGCCTGGCCTCATGATGCTCCCTTGCGCAACCTGTGGTGTCTTCTACTCTCCTGGAACTGGCTGCGCGCGGGAGGTGGGTTGCATCCTGGCTGCGCATCAGGGACATTCAGAGCAGCTCCCTACTCTGACCTGGGACTCCAACCTGAGGGAGCAGGTAAAGTTCGCCATCAGGTCACGGTAGAGCTGAATCATGTTCTTGTGATCCCAATGGTTTCCCAATTATCCTCGGGACCAAGAGACCATCGGGCGGTGGAGAGGATGAAGGGCAAGGTCTCTGGAAGTGGGAGAGATAAGAGATGCTGGCAGAGCGGGGGTTGGATAAAGGAGCAGTAATTATGAAGTAACTCTCAAAAGACAAACCACTGAGCCTATGGAAGGAAGGAAGGGGAAGGGAATGATGGTGAGAAGGATGCCCCAATTCTGCCCATGGCTGTGTTCACTGACTATGAATTTTTCTTCTTCATGTAGCGGGACCCCAATCCTGACTCTGGTTCTCTTTTCTACAGGTGATCCTTCCTACAGAGGTGCTGGGCTAGGAGTGTCCCTCTCTAGGAGCAGGTCCATAGTGATCGGGAAGGTGCCAAGAAAGATGACCTATAGTGAGAAATGCCCTGGACCCCTACTTGCCGGGGTTCTTGTTCCGGCATTAAGAAGGGTTCAGCAATCTGGAAAAGGGGCTGTGCATAACTCAGAGTCCAGTGACGAAATATAATTTTGAAAGGCATTTGGGGGGCAGAGGAGCTTAGCTAAAAGGAACTATGTTCTCTTCTCAGGACCCCATGCTTTTTAGTAACACAAATTGTCCTGAGGCTAGGTGGAGATAGACACTTCAAATGGTCAGGGTTTCCTATACAGAGTCCATTGTCAGAATGGAAGAATTAGCCTATGGCTGTTCAGGTGTTTGGCCTTAGGAGGCAATAACATGTAGATTAAGATGCCCTGAGCTGTCTGGCAGCAAACAATCATCCCTTTTCAGGTTTGGGGAAATGCCCTCAGCCATTCCCAACAAGTGACAACATATGCGACTCAGTCCTTGTTGAGTCCCCAAGTTCTATCAACCTATTGATGAAATTCTTGCAATTATGACATGCTAAAATTGGCTTCTGGCATCTCACCCTTTTTGATTATTTAAATTTAACAAGAATGTTTGTTTTAAGATTTTTAAATTCAATGGAAGGGATAGAGTTCTATCATGTCCCTTTAAATTGCTGCCAGGCATTAAAGGAATCAGTTTGCAATAAGTTTCTTTATGGGCCAACAGTTTTTTTGAGTCCCAATTTCAATGTCCAACAGTTTCTTATGTGTACATGTCAGCAATGATATTTTAGTTCTGGGTGGTGGAAAAATGATGGCAATGTGCATTCTCTGGTTTGGTCCTGGACAACCTGCAGTGATGCACAGCTGCTGACTGCTAGTATGGCAAGGCGTCTTCATCATCTTCTTTTCTGGACTGTTTCTCCTCTTGTTATTGGGGGTCACTGCTCTTCTGTGGCTGGAACAGTCTGGTCAGTTCCTCTCTGGGATCCACTGTTGCAGGAATCCACACGGGCTTGGAGGAGTTTTTTTGAAATAAACAAACATATTCTCGACCAAAGGTTAAAAAAGGAATCTTTTTTATAAATTAGACTTGGGATTCTTTTTATCTTTGCCCAAACGATTTTCCTTTGGCTTATTTTGATAACATGTGTGTTTTCCTGGGTGTCTTGTTATCAGTATTACAAATGAAAAATAATTTTCAAAGGAAAAATTTTAAAGCAATTAAGGCATTTACTTACAGGATATTTTTTTCCACTATCCCCCCCTTTTTTTTATTAAAATATTAGGAGGCTTTTGAAAATTTTACAATGCAGTCTTGATAACTTTTAATTTCAATTTTCTGTATAGAAAATATGACTGCTTTGGATTCATTGCATGTTAATCAATTTTACTATGTGATGAACCATCAATAAAAAATTTAGTTAATACTTCAGGAACAGTTTCCTGCACAGTACAATTAAGTTTCCTTGAAAGTTCACTTATACCAATTAGCCAATTTAAATTAATTTAAAATAATGTTTATTTTTTAACTTTACTTGTCCTAGGTTATGGACAGTAAATGACATTAATTAAATTTTTGCTATTAGTCTTTGAGTAACTTTACATTAGTTTTGTTTAAGGGGCAAAAATACAAATTACTTCTCAAGGTCTAGTATATTGACTTTTAATTATCATGTTACATTTGAAGGAAACCTCTCTTTTCTTTATTTTCTTCCAGAATAACTTTCAGGCCACACTTAGAGAATTTCAATTTAAATTTTTTTTTGGATTTTTTTTTTTACACCAAGCAACCTATGTAACAAACATGGTTGCTTTTTGATGCTGGCTGATAGTGCCAGGCCATGTCACATTAAACAACTTCCCTTAAGGCAGGGGTCCTCAAACTACGGGCGGGCCACATGCGGCCCGCCGGTGTTTTTGCCGCTGCTGCCTGTTGCTTAGCAGCTCACTAGTTTTTTTTTTTAACTATAGTCCGGCCCTCCAACGGTCTGAGGGACAGTGAACTGGCGCCCTGTTTAAAGAGTTTGAGGACCCCTGCCTTAAGGTCATGGTGACTACTATTATAGTCAGATTTGATATTTTATTTTATTTTTTAAAAAAATATATTTTATTGATTTTTTACAGAGAGGAAGGGAGAAAGATAGAGAGTTAGAAACATCAATGAGAGAGAAACATCGATCAGCTGCCTCCTGCACATCTCCTACTGGGGATGTGCCGGCAACCCAGGTACATGCCCTTCACTGGAATCGAACCTGGGACCCTTGAGTCCGCAGGCCGACGCTTTATCCACTGAGCCAAACCGGTTTCGGCCAGATTTGGTATTTTAACAACAATCTTTAGCTTACTCTGTAAATATTAGTAGAAGAGATTTCAAAATTTCTCCTTTTATTAAATTTAAAATTATATTTTTAAACAGCATTCCCTTTTGGCCCATTTTTATATATAGAGGGATCATGGGAAGCCTTCAGTAACTTTCTTAGATTTTACTAGGATTAAATTGCTTACTGTTATGCCCAGATTTCAAGATCCCCAAAAGACCACACCAGGGAGCCAGCCATGTCCAATGCAAAAGCAGAGGGTCCTTTATTTTGAGCTAGCTCGACTCCCCCTCCTGGCTGACGCAGCGACAGGAAGCAGAGTGAGATGGCGTGGGAAAAACAGGGTTTAATAGGGGGTGGAGTGAGGAGAGGGGAGCTGACTGTGGGCCCTGCCGATTGGCCAGGCGCAAGTCGGGTCTTGTTACACAGGATGTGGTCATCTCTATGGCGCGCACATCCCTTGATTGTCATTGGTTAGTTTAAAGAAATCCCGGGCGTGGCCAGCAGAGGCCTGGGCTTCCGGGAAGAAGATACTTTCCTGAGCACATGTCTGCCCCAAAATGGAGGACACAGGGTAAGATGGAGGGCGTAGTCCTCGCCCTTTCATTCCCCCCTTTGTCTTGGAACTTCCGGCTCAATCATGAGACGGACTGCATTTCTATTTCACCGTTGCTAGAGGCCTGTAGTGGGCACACAGAACTATCAACTGAACTATCCCTATACGTTTAACAAATGATCCAGTGGAAGGGAAAGAAAACATTTTAGCTTTAACAACTTCTATCAAAATAGGATTTTTCTTCTTAAAATTCCTCCATGGCTATTAAAAGGCCAAATTAAGATCAATTTATCTACTGTCCTGATGTTTGCATAAACACAACAAGAATGGTAACTGACTACCTTTGCTGGAATTTCATGGTTGAATTTCAATGTGTCCCGTAGGGCCAGGTAGCCAAGCCATCCAGCTGCCATCAGGCCTGCCTGCAGTATCTGCTGAGTTAGGTGAATTTCTCACCTGTAGCAACTCCACCTGAGCCCACGCTCCAGGCTTTAAGGCCCATCTCAGTAGCCCTCCTACTTGTTGCGGCCCAGAGTGTGTGGGGGTTCTGCAGGGATGCAGAGGCATCTTTACTGCTCCCCTTCTACTCTTTCCAACCGCCAGTGATGGTAGGGCATGGGCCTGACGCTTCAGCGCCAGCCATCTTCAGGGCTTCCAAGCAGGATACCAGGCTTTTTTTCATGGCATTCTTACTGGCTTCAAGTCTTTAGAGCTCAGACAGGGCTCTTTAAAACATGATACTCCAGTCAAAGTTTTCCGTTAATAAAACCACTATTAGGAACTGGTCTTATTGAATCTATGCAAAGAAATGTATTGCCATGACTTATTTAGCATTGCCAAATTTCGGAGGAATTACATAAGGAGAAAAACATACTGACCTACTCTAAGATTTTCTGACTTTCCTTGCCAATTCCTTTTAACAAAACAGTAATTGTTGGCATTAAACTTTCTTTCTATGCATAACCATGCCTTAGACCTTTTATT